CTCTCTTCGGGGTCCGCGCCTAGGTCTACATTTAGAGCAACGTGCGAAATGATATTAATTGGATCGACGACCAGTACTTCCCCGAGATTAGCCGGTGGCACCCCGACTCCTGGAGGAATTACATTGTCATTTTCCCCGACCAGTACGAGTGCATTTTGTGAGTTTGAAATGCTTTAACCTAAGAGCAAAAATACTTGACAAGAACAAGTGGGAAAATAACGTGTGTTATCAGAATCAACACTGAAACAATCACTATTATCCTTATCCCCACGGTGGGCGCCAAACTGTTTACCCTAATATTCAAGTAACAATTAAATTTTTATTGTGGTTTTAAGGATATGTGAATTAATTCAATGCCAATTGATAAACTAGGAATTAAATAGATAAATTAAAGGATAAAGTAGATCAAACTAGTGTGTAAGCTAAATCTCGACTTCGACCAGTAACATTCTCGAGGTATGATGATGGGGATAAATGATAAAACAACTCTGAAGAACAGTAAATGAAATAGCAAGAGAGTAATGCGTGTATATTTTCTTATCAGTGAACAGTGGGTTACAAATGAATGGGATCCCCCATTATATAATAGAGTCCTAAATAAGGTACACTTCTAATTATAGTAGGAAATCATATTTGACAACTGTCTAACCGCCAAAGACCAATCCATTCCAAAATTTACGTCACGATCTCCGGCCCTTTTCGGGTATCACGCTCTTTTCGTTACTGAATCATAATGGTATCATCTTGAAGCATGCCTTCTTCTGACCTCGGTAAACAATATCGACCTCGACATTGGAAAGGAGCTTCGGCCCCGAGCTCGGCGTCCTGGCCGTGGTATCATTTTTTCTATCGAAGCACGAAATCAAGTAGCCTCGATTTCTACCGTATACAAGTACTACGACAAATTATAATATGTGTGAAAATGATTAGCAGTAAGAAATATGTCGGCAGCAAGAAGAAGCAAGTTTAATGAGAAGAAAGAAGGATAAGGAGGCTATATATGCCGAGGACACCAAAAGCAAAAGCCAGTGACCTGTAGAAAAACTTTGAAATATAATACTCTCTCAGTATCAATTTAGATGACACACTTTCCTTATTAGTCTGTTCCAAAAAGAATGGGGCCTTTCTACAATTGGAAATAATTCAACTTTAATTTCCTCATTTTGGATTCCTTTGAGAAGGATCGGTTTGTATAGGCCTGGGCCACCTGGTGTCTTAGATTCTTCCAATAGCTGACACGATCTCTAATGCAACTACACTGAAATTATACACCGACAATCGAGGTTCCTCCGTGGGGTCGGTATGTTTATCGAACCCATTCTTACTCATGAGTCCTCGAGAGCTTTGACCTCGATCGTTTCTTTGATCGTTCCGAAGAGCGTTACGACCCGAGCTGGTGTTTCTCCGATCGACATACGGCTGATACCGTTCCTTGTTTGATCTTGATTCCTTATCTGTATCCCTCGGGGGTTTCGCTGCCAATCTATTAGGATGAACTAAACCCGAAGGGGCTCCCAACTGGTCGTCCTCGACCCTGATTTTTGATTGATAACGATTTTGCACGTCTGACCACGTCACAGCTGGATACTCGATCATATTCTGTTTTAATTATCAAGACGCGATCGAACTCCGCTCATTCAAACCTTGCATAAAAACATGTACTGTCCAGTCATCCAAGACTGGTTGTAATTACATTCGCTCGATCTGAAACCTAGACACAAACTCTTTTAACATCTGTTGTTCCTCTGTTTTATCTTAAAAACATCCGATTTTCTCGTCGCCACCTTTATGGCCCCGGTGTGTGCTTTCACGAAGGCGTCTGCTAACATAGCAAACGAATCGATAGAGTTTGGGGGCAAGTTGTCGTACCAAATCATGGCTCCCTTCGACAAGTTTCCCCAAATTTTTTCAACAATACTGACTCGATCTCATCATCATTCAGGTCGTTTCCTTTAATCCCGCAAGTATATGAGGTAATAGCTCATTAGGGTCGGTTGTCCCATTATATTTGGGTATATCGGGCATGCGTAACTTTTTAAGAATGGACATCGGAGCCGCGCTCTGAGGGAACGGTTTTTGTATGAACCTTTTGGCATCTAAACCTTTCAAGACCGGGGGTGCCCCCAGTAATTGATCAACACGGGAGTTATAAGTCTCCATCTTTTTGTCATTGTCCTCAATCTTTTTTTTCCCGAACTTGATCCTCTTGGTGAGCTCTTCGAGCATCCTCATAATGGTGGGGTCAGTCCCCAAGCCATTTTCGTTTGACCTCTCTGGCACCGGTTCAGCACGTTGAGTGTTATCTGGTTCAGCTATACTCGGAGTTTTATTCTGACTCTGAAGTTGAGGGATGGTAATCTGTTGAGCTTGCAGTATCTCGAATATCACTTGGAGGCTGACTCCCCCATCTCCTACACATTGTGTTCCTTGGCCCCCAGATCGGGCTTCCCTGCGTACACTTCCTCCGGGGTCTGCTCCTAAATCTACATTCAAAGCAATATGTGAACTAACATCAACCGGTTCCACATTTGGCACTTCCCCAGGGTTTATCGGTGGTACACCGACCCCTACATTGTTGTTTTCCCCATGAAATCCAAGACCTTCGTTGTCGTGAACAGGTGCGTTTATCTTTAGCCCCACGGTGGGCGCCAAACAGTTTACCTCGAAAATACAAGTAACAATTAAATTTGATTTGTGGTTTTAAAGATATGTGATTTAGTTCAATACTAATTAATGATCAAGAAGTATAACGTATAAATGAAAGAAATGAGTAAATCAAACCAGTGTTGCTAGGTGGTATCGACCTCGAGCCAAAGTGACCTCGAGACAGATTAAGAACAATAAAGTAAGAATAATAAAGCTAAAGGACAATTCTGATGAACAATGAGTGAGAAAAGTAAGCGAATATATTCTTTTCCAATGATTGAATGTAGTCTACAAATGATTGGGGTCCTCTCTATATAATAGGGGAACCCTAAATAAGGTGCATTTTCATTTACAGTAAAGAATCTTATTGGGACAGCTGTCTAACCGCCTTGTACGGATTCGTACAAATTTATTCCGGGATTTGCGCCACGATCTTGGGGACGTAGCAGGAATCTTGCTCATTCTGTTACAAATCTATAACGACATTATCTCGAGGCCAGTCATGTTTAGGCTTCGACGTTCCTCGACCACTTGGTTCTTCTAGCCTTGTATTGTGTCATCGAGCTCGAGCCTAATCCATCGAGCTGGGACTCAGTCCATCTTGAATTCGGACTTAGGGCGACTCCTCGAGCCCAGAAAATTGGTCATACCGAATTTTGACCGTATACATATGTAACCTCATCAATTGTAGTAGCATTATTTCTACGGAAAAGGCTAAATATACTCTTGGACTATGAGTAAAAGTTTAAATATATCTCTCGTTATACTTTGGGTCAAAAAATATTCATGTCGTAATACTATTGGTTAAAATATACCCCTCTTTCGTTAAGTTTGTTCAAGATAGAAATCAAATCCTACGTAGCACTGATATTTGATGATGTGGATGTCACGTGGTATGTCACCTCAGCACCCTTAACCCATTTTACCCCTCCCTTGAGAAATCCATAGTAGATCCAAAGCATGAAACTGAAAAGAGCAATCACGTATGAAATTGATTGGTAACCTTCAACTGATTTCATCTTGTAAATTTTATAAAATGTGGGAATGGCGCAAGTATGAAAATATAGTGTTAGATTAAAAGCAAAAAAAAAAAAAAAAGGTACCATATTAAATTAAAAAAGAAAGAAAATGGAAACTTATATTGGAGAGGAATACAATGAACGAGACGATATTATTTGCAAGTTTCAAAAGAAAAAAGAAAAACTCCATGAGTTTAAAATACAAGTATCGGACCATATTTTAGAAATTAAAGAAATGATTTAGGAGAAAGGCGAATGTGCGGCATGTAAATTACTATACTTGTTGATGTGCTCATATTTACGAAAGGACTGATATTATGATTAATTATTACTATACTTACATGCGCACTGGGTTCACTAATTTTCTTTTCTTGAAAAGTACTATGACAAATTATAATAAGGGTGAAAATGATCAGCAGTAAGAAATATGTCCGCAGCAAGAAGAAGCAAGTTTAATGAGAAGCAAAAAAGGAGGCTATATATACCAAGGACACCAAAAGCAAAAGCCAGTGACTTGTAGAAAAACTTTGAAATATAATACTCCCTCTGTTTCAATTTAGATAACACACTTTCCTTCTTAGTCTGTTTCAAAAAGAATGGCGTATTTCTGCAATTGAAAATAATTCAACTTTAATTTCCTCATTTTACCCTTAATAAAAAGCTTTTATAACCACACAAATGTTATGGCCCCTTAAACTTTTACCCCTTAAACTTTCAAGATCACAAGTTTCAAAAGTCGTCTTTTTCTTCTTAAACTCCGTGCCGAATCAAACTGTTTCGTGTAAATTGAAACGAATGGAGTATTGTTTATGGTGCGATAATGGTGGCAATGGTGGGGAAGGGAAGAAAATTTTAGTGGTGGAAAAAAAATACAGAGGGGTAAAATAAGTTAGGGGCACTGAGGTGACATGCCATGTGGCATCCACCTCATCAAATGTTAGTGCCACGTGAGATTGGATTTCCACGTTGGAGAAACTTAACAAAATAGGGGTATATTTACCAATAGTATAACAGAAGGGAAATATGTAAACTCAAAATATAATTAGGGATATATTTAAATCTTTTCTCATAGTACGTGGATATATTTTGCCCTTTTCCGTGATTTGTATTCCTGTCTCTATGTAGACAAAAGTGCAATTTACTGCCTCTATTATCAGCTGTCATCGTCAAGCTGTACAATTGGGACCCGGCCATTTGCTTTATTAACCAATCTGCAATACATCTTACTTAGTTAGTTACTTTACAAACTTCAAATTGAAAAACCACCGACTGAAAACTTGTTCTATATGTATGTTTTTTTTACCTAAAAAAAAAAAAAACTATATATTTATGTATGTCACTCTCTATATTTATGTATTGCCTTGTCCATTTGGAAAGTTGTAGACTTTTGAATCTCTTATTCAATTCACTTGAATTAAAGCAGTTTCGACATTTAAAAATGGAAGTATAAATTGAAGAAATCCTTGAAGGTGTTCCATTATATATATTAAGATGGCATTTGTGGACTTGTTCGTCGTGGCATTAGTACCTGTTCTGAAAACTCTCATAATTACTGCTGTTGGGTTGTTCCTTGCTTTGGAACGTGTCAATCTCCTTGGCTCTACTGCAAGGCACCATTTGAACAATGTAAGTTTTCTCATATTCTTAATTCTTGAAAATTAAATTATAGTAAAAAAAAATATATACTAGCATATATGTTCTATCCGCTCGGCCAGTGCGCAATTTCTGTGCACAGATACACAAAATCCTTCTTTTAGCCCGTTTGGCCAAGCTGCAAAAATCAGCTTATTTTGAAAATTATTTTTTTTCAAAAGTGTTTTTCTCAAAAGTATTTTTGGTGTGTTTGGCTAATTAGTTTGAAAAGCACTTCTGAGCAGCAATTAGTGTTTGGCCAAGCTTTAAAAATCTGCTTCTAAGTGTATTTTTCTCAAAAGTGCTTCTCAAAAAAATGCTTTTGGAGAGAAGCTACTTTTTTCTGCTTCTCCAAGACTGCTTCTGCTTCTCCTCAAAAGCACTTTTTTTCCTTCCAAAAGCTTGGTCAAACACCTTAATTTTTGGCCAAAAGTGCTTCTGGCAAAAAAAAAAGCACTTTTGGCCAAAAAGAAGCTTGGCCAAACAGGCTATAATCTCTAGTTCAACTTCACAATTATTCGCGAGAAGTTAGAAATTGGACAAAGAATAAAGAGTGGTCAACCAGGACAACGGCATTATATAGAGTTTCCATAACTTGATAGCCTTTAACTTTCTTTCTTTTTTCTCTTAAATGCTTGGAGCAGCTTGTGTTCTATATTTTCACTCCAGCGCTGGTGGCTAGTAGCTTGGCTGAAACAGTAACATCGAGCAACATTGTTTCATTGTACGTAGGTTCATTTTAATTTCTTGTAATTTTTGTGGCCCTTGAATTTTTACTCCATATTAATTACTCCTAGTTGTTATATCATTGGTTTTATGTATAGATGGTTCATGCCCGTAAACATTCTTCTCACATTTATCGTCGGTTCAGCACTTGGATGGTTACTTGTGAAAATCACAAGAACTCCTATAGAACTTCATGGCCTTGTTATAAGTTGCTGTGCTGCAGGTTAACTACATATATATACTATTTATAATTTCGTTTTACTAGTGAATTACTAGTACTCTCACATTCACAATTCAAATTCATGCATATATTGAAGGAGTGTTTGTTTTTTTCCTAGGGAATCTGGGGAACTTGCTTCTCATCATAATTCCTGCAGTTTGTGTGGAGAAAAATAGTCCCTTTGGAGATTCAGTTACATGCTCCACAAAAGGAAAGGCCTATGCATCACTATCTATGGCAGTACGAACGTACCTGAACTCTCTCATAAATCTTACTCTTAAACAACAACCACCCCTTCACCACTTTTGCTACCTTTTGCGTCCTTATTTTTTGGGTTAATTCTTGATCAGTGGCCGATCTAAAATTTAAATAATATTGGTTCTAAGTTGAAGAGTGGATTCCAAAATTTATACGTATGAAATTCTATTTATACTTGACCCTAGCTAGAGAATTTTGAATGTTAGCCTCTAATTTGGGTCTTATATTGTGTAGATAGGAGCAGTCTATATATGGACTTATATCTATAACATAATTCGAGCCTATGGAGTCCAACATAATACCTCAACGGTCAACACCGAAGATTCTGGTGAAGTCCCAGATCTATTATTGTCCGATAGCTGTACAAAATTGTTATCTTCACAAGATAGACTACAATCTGATATGGACCATGAAGCTCAACTTGCAGTACATCTCATTGGATATGAAACCACACATGAGGTTCTTTTCTGTTTATCATTTAACATAGAGCTTCAATTTTATGCACTGACAGCTTCAAGTTACCAAAAACAGAAGTACAAGTAACCATTTATATTAGAAAAAAACTCTTGTAATTAAAATAATTAATATGACCTTTCATGTTAGCAGAACCCTTTATTCCCTTCTCATTCTGTTTCTTAGATCATTATAATGAACCAGAATTCACCAAAAAGAAATCATGGTGAGTACAAAATGCAAATTAGCTCTTTTGTTCCTTTATATATATTTGGTTGGACTAAACATTGCTTCGAATATTGTATAGGGACATTTTGTTAGGAAGATCAAACAACATATCAAAATATGGACGCAAAGGATCAATTTCAAAATATTGTTTGCACCCTCAACAATTGCTACGGTACGACCACATTATTACTCCTATTTATCAGTATAACACTCCTTAATTTGACACTATAAATTGGCAATTATAATCTCTACAGATTGTTGGGATCATCATTGGTGTAACGTCCCAGTTAAGAAAGCTGATGATTGGAAATGAGGCTCCATTGCATGTGATTGATAGCTCTGCTTCTATGCTAGGGTATGAAACCTAATTAAATTTCATTTAAATGAGCTTATAACAAAGTTTAAATTTGAATGTTTTGTATATATGACAACTCACTCAATGCTATGTGTTATGTGCTGCAGAGAGGCTGCAATACCAGCCATGACATTGATAGTTGGAGCAAATCTTCTTAGAGGTAATTCCTGACAGTAGAAGATAAATTAAACTTAGATGGTTACCAAAAATTCTTTCTTATGTGACTTAATAATATGGAAATTTATTTACGCTATAAAGTCAGTCGTGTATTTATTTTAAGTGCAGGGCTGAAAAAGTCAGCAGTAGGTATGTGGGTTGTGATAGGCATACAGGTAGTACGTTATGTGGCAATGCCATTATCAGGGATTTGTGTTGTCAAAGCTGCACGCCATTTCGGATTGGTTGGATCAGATTCCTTGTACCAGTTTGTACTACTCCTGCAATATGCACTTCCTTCTGCAATGACTATAGGTACTATATACTCCACCATCATTTTTTCTTGGTTTCCCACCCGCTGTGCGGTACCCAAATTGGGATCCGACTAATCCGGATTCACGCCGGGAAATCCCACATTGGGGTAAAACACTCCCTAACAAAGGCGACTCCATACCCAGGGGCTCGAACTCCAGACCTCGGGCTAATAATGAAGGAGTACTTACCACTCCACCACAACCCTCGGTGGTATATATTCCATCATCGTTAATCGCACTAGTATCTCTCTCTCTCTCCTTGTTTTTTCTATATACTTAATAGTTTAAACAATTTGATTATGGTTATATGTAGTTATTTTTTAGATTACCTGATAGTGTAAATATCTTTCATATTATATGTTTATAAAATATTTTTGCGGAGGATGTAAGACATTCTGTGTAATAATTTCTCACTTTAAATGAAACCTTTCCTAAATTTTTTCTCATTTTTGGTTGGTAAAATGTGCAGGTACAATTACACAGTTGTTTGAAGTTGGTGAAAGTGAATGTTCAGTGATTATGCTATGGAATTATGCATTGGCATCAGTTGCTCTTACTCTATGGACCACTTATTACATGTGGATTTTATCTTGATCAGTCTCTACAAAATATCATGTCTTATGTTTTGCCTTTGCTTTATTTTCGATTAGTTAAATTATTTATACTATTAGTGTATAACTTAAACCTTTAGGGGTCGTTTGGTATGTGTGTTCAGAATATGTTATTTATGTACTAGAAGTAACATAACTAATACCCTGTTTAGTAGCTTTTAGTTACTTCGTACAAAAATCAGCATAACTAATGTCATGTTTGGTTGCTTTTTCCATTGGGGGTATAAATAATACATGAATAAGTTACACAACAAATCTATATATTATTTATGCAAGGTAGAATGTGGATTAACTAATACATGTATTTGTAATACCTCGATTAAACAACCAACTGACCAAAAAAAAAAACCTGGTATTTATTTAAATTACACATTGTATAATCAAAATAAAGTAAATATTCCACAAAAAAATTAATATCTACATAACAATCCATAAATTACTAATCAATACATAACTAATTCCATCATAGTTAAATCCTGCTAACTAGTTCATGTATACTCATACCTGCATAATCAATTCTTACATAACTAATCCATATATTACTAGTACCTTCATAACTCTAACCAGCAATTAAACTACTCCTTATGGTATTTGCACTCTCTCCTAGAGAAAAAGAAGGAAATAAGGCAACACGCATTGGCTATAAATAGTGCTCTTTCTTGTTAGCCCGCCCATTAGAAGCTAAGCAACTCAGTCATAATTAGTGAGGAAAGGTCAAAAGGAAAATTCCAACCTCGATTGTTCCAACTAAATAAGATCACGATTGAGTGTTCTCTATTTCAAATCTTTTGAGATATAAATAACAACAAACCTAGTATAATTCTATAAGTGAAGTCCGAAGAGGATAATGTGTACGCAAATCTTATCCCTATTTTGTGAAGATAGAAAAATTGTTTCCTATAGACCCTCGTCTCAGAATAAACATGAAAGACATTTGTTTAAAAGATGATCGGGTGAAGAATGAAAAAAGTGCTAAAGTCTATAGAATAAAGTTTGCTGATGCAATCAAGAATCGAATCATATTAAAATATTCAGGTGTTAATAAACAAAGCTAAAATATTAACTGCAAAAGAAGGATTGCCAAGCCTGGGTACCCAGGATTTAGAGTATTCTCTGTTATGAGTCTACACATTTAGAACTAAATCAGTGTATAAAGGAAAAATCGGTCTCGGAAGATGGGCGAATTAGGGAACTACGCGTGTAAATCAACAATGATTCAATCAGGTTCACACCGGGTACAAACTTGTGGCCGGATAAGATGTTGACACCGAATACAAACATGTGGCCGGATAAGATGTTGACATCGGATACAAGTTTGTGGCCGTATAAGAAGCATTAATTCAAGATATGACCGTTGCAAAAACGTTATAGAATATCCCAAGATTCCTCACGTCTTTATTAGCCTTTATTGGGCTTTATTACCCTTTAATATTATTTTACTACCTTTTTATTACCTTTTATTGTAGCATTAATATCGGTAATTAATTGGTAGATCCTACACCCATAGCTCTAGTATAAATAGAGGATTGCATTATGTTGTTTAAAAAAATACTAATAGAAAAAAGACTAGTATTCTCTCTCAAGCTTTATATAAGTGTTGTCAAGATTTTTCATTTATCCCTGTGGGAACATTCTAAAATCCATGCTTGTATCTCCTACAATTATTCTTATTTTACTTGTTTTGCTCTTCATTACTTTCTTTTATCGGATCAATTTAATCAACGTATCAATAAACCACAATACAAATTTAACTGTACCGTTTTTCCGACCAACAATTAGTTGATTCTACTTGGCCGGCCAGCTTTATGCAGTATTTCTGCTTAAGACTCCAACTCTCTAATGCTCTCAAAAACTTGGCTGTAGAGTATCGTTTAAATACTATCATACGAATAAATAATTACTTATTTGTAAAATTAATTTTATCACTTCGTACTTTTTAGTTATTTTCAATCAGTTAAGCCAAACAAGCTCATATGTTGCTAATTTTTATCTTTAGATCCAATTTTCTATGAGAATCTTACGAAAATGTTCAAAATAAGCCCAAACTTACCAACTCTAGCTATTAATCACAGACTTACAAATATTATTTAAGCGCATATGAAAACTCAGATAAATAAAAATTCTTTCTACCAAGAATCACACGCAAAAATCTCCTTCCATATTTTTAAGCGTGAACAACATAAGATGCAAGACAGAAAGGAATTTTTATGTATGAGGTAGCAAACAAGGTGATGAAACACAGAGAAAAAAATATAAGATTCCAAAAACCTAAGCAAAAAAAGGACCTTTTTCAATAACTATGTTGAATTCATTGAAAACATATAGATGAGTCAATACACAAAATTTGAGGAAGACTGAAGGTGATTTAGATTGATTTGGTATAAAAAATTATAGTGAAAATCGAGTCCAAAAATTCTTCTGTGACACATTTACAAGTAATATCTCACACATAGATATACATGAAAATACATGTGATACACATTTGATAAATATGTGATACACAAATGATACACCGTATGATACACATATCATCTTTTTTCATGTTCATCTTCTACTTCGAATTTTCAATTCAAACCACCTCAAAACTCCACCAAATCATCCCAAAACTGAGATTGAAACTCCTCTAGATGTACCCAATCTATTCTAATAATATCCACTCAAAAGAAAGTAAAAATATGATACTTTTTTGCTACAAATAGCTAATTGGCTAATGTTGTTAACATTTGGCTAATATTGGCAATATTTTATGAATAGGCTAATTATTTGTAATGATCAGACCGGTCGTTCTAAGCACTAGCTTTCCTTTCTGTGTTCTAAGACTTCTCCTAGCTCTATTTGATGATTTATGACTTGGGCGTGTGGTTCTGTCGATTTTCGAAAAATGCAAATGTGAATTTAAAAAAAAATGAGATTTTTTACTTAAAAAATGACTATAGTTGGCCGCGGTCAATATTTTTTGATAAACAACCTGGGATCGGTATTTTGACAATGCGGGTAGGTTCGTATGATGCTTTTGACCTTGTACGTATGTTTGATTGGGGTCACGAGTGACCCGACTAAGTTTCAGTGCATTATGTGAAAGTTGGAAATATAAATTTTAACTTTGAAAATTCTTGAGTTTTAATGGTTGATTCTTGATATTTGATGTTATTTTGATGATTTGAGCGATCGAGTTTATATGATGTTAGTACACTTGTGTGCATGTTTTTGGAGCCCGAGGGCTTCATGGATGTGATTCGAAAGGTTTTGAATTGCTGATGGTTTTGCTGGTGTCTAGGGTCCGCAGGAAAAGCATTTGTGATGACTTGTTTGCAATTGCGAGTCCCGCTTTTGCAAAGTTCGACTCACGAATGCGATAACTGGGGATGAGCTACTGATTCACAAAAGCGAAGATACTGTCGCAAATGTGTATCGACCTGACTGGTCGTTTTGCTTTCTAGATCCTCGTTCTCCTAATTAAGATTTCCCGTATGTGTTTATACTGTTTTGTGAATTGTGGGGATGGTTAGTTTCGATTTGGAAGGATTCATGTTAAAATTGAAACACTTAGTATAGTGGCCTAATGTGTCCAAACTTGACCTGAGTTATCATTTTGAGTAAACAATCACGGAACCGGGATTCGAAGATTCCAATAGGTTCGTATGATAATTTTGGACTTCGGCGAATTGAATTTCGGGTGATCCGGGAGCGTTTCAACGCTTAATGTGGAAAGATATTTCATTTGAGGGTTCCTAGTTTTTTAAATTTGGTTTGGAGTAGAGTTTAGTATTATCGAGGTCCGTTTTGGATTTCAATCTAGGGAATAGTTCCGTATGGTGATTTATGACTTGTATGTAAAATTTGGTGTCATTCGGAGTTGATTTGATAGGAATCAGACGCGCGGTAGTTTTTTAGATGTTCTTGAGTTTCATGTTGAATTCATGCGTTTTGGGATCTTATTCGTGATTCTAGATGTTATTTTGGTTTGATCACGCGAGCGAGTCCGTATGATATTTTTAGACTTGTGTGGACGTTTGGTGTGGAGCCCCGAGGGATCGGGTGAATTTCGAATGCGGTTCGGCGTGTTTGGAAGAACTTCGATTTTGCTGGTTTTGATCTGGTGCTTTAGGTCTCACAAATGCGAGGTTTTGTTTGCATTTGCAAGTAGGGCTGCGCATTTGTGAGGTTAGGGTGACGCTGTTGGGTTCGCATTTGCGAAGGAAATTATCGCGTTTGCAAGGTCACTTGGTCGTAGCATTTTTCACATTTGCGATCTATTTTTTGCTTTTGCGAGGTGCCAGTTTCACATTTGCGAGCTTTTATGTCGCATTTGCGACTGGGGCAGAGCTGGTCAGGTTTCACTTTTGCAACGCCAATGTCGGATTTGCGACCATCGCATTTGCAAACCTGATGTCGCAAATGCGACAACTACGACAGGTGCAAGGACTTTTATTACAAGACTTAGCCTCTTTTCCCTCATTTTCCACTTGGTCTTGGGCGATTTTGAAAGCATTCTTGTGGGGGATTTTCATCAACATCAAGAGGTAAGCGAACCCTAGCAATTCTTGAGTTAAATACATGGATTATGGGTTGATTTAACATGAAATTAAGGGAAAAATTGTGAGATTTTGTTAGAACCTAGGGTTTGGTTAAAAAAAGATTTGACCACAAAATTGATTATGTAATTGGCAATAAATTATATATTTGAGTTCATGAATAACATTTATATTCGAAAATTTCCAAAATCCGGGCACATGGGCCTGGGGCGAATTTTAGGAATCTTCCAAATTGGGTTGAGTAATTATTCTAATTGCTAAATTATGAACTTTTGAGCATATATTTTTTAGTTTACACGACTTATGATTAGTTTCGGAGTCCTCGGCGTTGTTTTAGGAGTTCTAGTGAGGTTGAAGAGCCGGATTGAGAACTTGGAATCAAGGTAAGTCTCTTGCCTGACCTTGTAAGAGGGAACTTATCCCCTTAGGTGTATTAATTGTTGTGTGCTTGTTGGCCCAAGTTCAGGTGAAGTTTTGAAGAATGACAAATGAACTCAGTCATGGACCAGGTCCATCATGTGAGGCACATTGTTTATCAACCTATACATGTGAGATGCACGTGAAGGAGATAAGTCTTAGTGATCAAGCAGCAATATCTCCTGAAC